TGGTTTGGTTTGGTTTGGTTTGGTTTGGTTTGGTTTGGTTTGGTTTGGTTTGGTTTGGTTTGAGATGGGGCCTCACTTTGTAGCCCAGGCTGGCCCAGAGCTCACTGTGTGGGCCAGGTTAGACTTGCACTTATAGATCCCCACCTGCCTCTGCCCGGAGTGCTGGGATTAAAGGAGTGTGACACCACACCGGTTTCACCTTGCTTTTTGAAACAGGGTCTCTGACTAGCTTGAAGCTCACAGATTCTGCCAGGCTAGCTAGCAAGGGGAGGGATCCTCCTGTCTCTGCTTCCTTTGGGATTTCAAGCAGATGCTACCATCCCTGGCTTTCCCTGTGGAATCTGGGGATTGGAACTCTGCTCCTTGTACTTGCAAGGCAAACACCTTAGCAACAGCACCGCCTCCACAGCCACGTGCATTGTCAGATGTCAGGAGTGACCTAGAGACGTGTTGTACGTTTATTTTGAATGTGAGTGTTTGTGCAGTGCATGTGGCAGTCAGAGGACAAGTTTCAGGAGTCAGTTGGCTCCTACCTTAAAGACATGTGTCTCAAGGTGCCACCTGAAGCTGTCCTTGGCCTACACACAGACAGATGACACAATATGCCCTGAATGATCCAGTCACAATGGGTGTTGGTTTACTGTGGTCACTTTTCTCCTGGTGTCTCCTAATCAGTGTCATATAACAGCTCTGTATCCCTGGTGTGCAGTGTTCAGCTGTTCTGAGCCTTCTGGAAGTGTGGAAGGCCCTGTGCAAATACTCCCTTGACAGACACTGGGTCATCCTTGGGTGTTGGTTCTTCTGGGGTCCCAGTGCCAGTCCTCTGGCTTCCAGTTTAAGGCTGTGTACCCATTTGAGAGACAGGACCAACTGAGGCTCTAGGTAGAAAGTAGGAGAACTAGAGACTGGAACTTTTTGAAATGCAAAGCTAGAGCTAGCTACAGGGGCAAGGCCACCCACCTGCGTTGTCAACCCCCTTCTCCTACAGGTAATGATCCGAGAGAAGAATCCAGAAGGCTACTTGTCAGCGGCCGAAATCCCCCTCTTCAAACTCTACCTGATCATGTCTGCCTGCTTCCTGGCTGCAGGCATCTTCTGGGTGTCCGTGCTCTGCAAGAACACGTAAAGCCCCTCTCCATCCCACCCTCCCCTTCCCTCTCCTCTGAGGGCCTCACACGTTGATCTCAGTGAACGCTCTCTATGCCCTCTCCCTCTGCAGATACAGTGTCTTTAAGATCCACTGGCTCATGGCAGCCCTGGCGTTCACCAAGAGTGTCTCCCTGCTCTTCCACAGTGTGAGCACACGGGGCCCGGTGACGACACAGGGGTGGGATGGTGAGATGGGACATCTGTCCACCTGTGCACCTTGTCCGTTTCATCTCTCTTGCGCTCAGCCCAGCTCTTGCTGCCCACCCTCCAGGAACATCCATTGGCCCAGTCACTGCTGACTGTCCGCCCTGTTGTCTGACCATCCCCCCACCTAATCTGTCTCTTGGGTGGAGGGAGCCCGTGGTGACTGACTGCAACATTCATCTCACCCCACCCCCAATCACCTGCTTGTTTTGTAATTATTCTCTGTGTTCCTGACTGTCCCCCCACCCTCGCACCCATCCTCTCTGACTGCACCCCGCACCCATCCTCCTCTCTGACCGCTCATGCATCTGCCCGCCTCCAGATCAACTACTACTTCATCAACAGCCAGGGCCACCCCCTCGAAGGCCTCGCCGTCATGCACTATATCACACACCTGTGAGTCGCCTGCCTGGCTCTGCACACAGGTGGGGGAGGCAGGCGGGGAGGTCTGGGTCCCCACCTCATCATCAGAACCCCCTGGTCTCCCAGGCTGAAGGGCGCCCTTCTCTTCATCACCATTGCCTTGATCGGCTCGGGCTGGGCCTTTGTGAAGTATATGCTGTCGGACAAGGAGAAGAAGATTTTTGGGATTGTGATTCCCCTGCAGGTATTGGGGTGGGGGTGGGGGCTTCCATGGGAGTCTACGGGGATGCAGGGAGGGAGACAGTGGAGACATGTAGGGAGAGAGTCAGAGAAAAATGCTAGGGACTGATACAGGCTGGGATGCTCAGGCGGAGTACAGGAAGGCAAGTCCGTGGTGTTGGGGAGGACCCCATCTGGCACCCTCCCATCCCCACAGGTCCTGGCTAATGTAGCATACATTGTCATTGAGTCCCGTGAGGAGGGTGCCAGCGACTATGGACTCTGGAAGGAGATCTTGTTCATGGTGGATCTCATCTGCTGTGGTGCCATCCTCTTCCCAGTGGTCTGGTGAGGACCCGGCCCTGCCCATCAGCCCACTGAGACCCTGCACCCTCACGTGGCTGGGGAGATGCCTGCCAGCCCCACTGAGGCCCTTACTCTACCCAACAGAAGACTCCTGTACACTGGGCGGGGTCAATACTGATCAGTTCCCACATTCCTCCACCTGTTCCAGGTCCATCCGGCATCTGCAGGATGCATCCGGCACTGATGGGAAGGGTGAGGACCCCCTCCTGGATTTTGTCCCATCCCTGCTTTCTGTCTGACACCAGGTGCCAGGGTCCACTGACTACATGGCTGTGTGCGTCTTACTCCTCCGTCCCCAGTCAGTGTCCAGTCACCCACACACACTTCTCAATTACTTTTGCTACTGTTCATCCTATTGCCCTGGAACTGCTCCCTGGGCCCTGGCCCCTTCTCCACTGCCCCAGTTTTAGTTACCCGCCCCTGACCCCACTCTGTGCCCACCCACAGTGGCAGTGAACCTGGCCAAGCTGAAGCTCTTCCGACATTACTACATCATGGTAGGAGTCCTGCCTTCCCACAGGCCTGAGTCCCTCCCTGCTGCCCTCTGCCCTGAGCCCAAACCTTGACCTCTGTCCTGGTGCCCGTGCCTCCTCCTCTCCCCGGCAACCTTGACCTCTGTCCTGGTGCCCGTGCCTCCTCCTCTCCCCG